ATATATTTGTGGCCCCTAGTCCTACTATTCTCATTGTTAAATATAAAAAAGATGAAGCATCAACACTATCAATTCCCTTTACAATCTTTAACACCTTAATCAGATCCTTCCTAACTCTTCTTATTTCAAGAGAAAATTTGAGAGATTCCAGCCTCTCCTCATATGACAACCCCTCCATCCCAGGCACCATTCTAGTAACTCTTCTCTGAACCCTTTCCAACAATTCAATGTCTTTCCTAAGGTAAGGAGCCTAAGACTGAACACAATGTTCCAAATATGGCCTAACCAGTGACCTGTACAATGAAAGTATAACCTCTTTAGACTTGTATTCATATAAAAAGAGAAAGTAGAAAGGAATCACTGAATTTTAACATCGGTTCATGTGGAAAACAGACAAAATTAGTAATGTTACAGCATTGCTGAACTTCTGTGCTGAAGCTGACAATACATTAAGGTATCACTTATAAACAACTCATCCAAAGGTCAAAGTACTGCTAATAGCCCACCACATCAAAGAAGACATCTAGGCAATAAACTAAAATAATGGGATACCACACACAACAATCTGATATCTCACTTAACCAACTGAGATGTAGTCAAACCTGGACATCTTGTTTAGAAAAGTGTCTACTTGTCTAGGCTCTCATTCGATTTGATCTCTATTCATCTAGCTATACAAATGTTTTCAAAGCAGATACCAGGTTTTGATTACTTTTATGCTAAATTGATAAGCTGCTGTTATCTTCAGTAGTCTTCAAAAGTAGCCCAGATTCAAAACACAGAAAATATCTATCTGGTTATTAATATCTAACAATAATAATAATAAAAACAGAAATTACAATAATGAAAGTTAATTGTTTCATAATTAGACTAAATTTATTGCATAGGTTACTGTTCTTTACACCAACAAAGGAGCATAAATAGAAAATAATTAACATGTCATAGAAATATTGTGGAGAAACATGTTTATTACAATTTTGTCTAATGATAATATTAATGTATATCCTCAATCAGTTTTTAGCATATCAAGGCTAATCCTATGGATTAAGAAACACGATAATAATTTTTCCTACATACCTGTGTAACATTAAGTCTGCCCTGACTTTCCCCCGCTATCTCTCCTATAATCAACAAGTCGTCTTTAGTGTCCGTCAGCTGCTGCTCATAATGTTGGACCTAATTAGTAAGACAACATAATATTTTGTGAAGAACTGTATATCAGAATGTATTATCTTTTAAACAACAGAAAAGAATGTGTTACATCTAAAATACTTTTCTTTTTTTGAACGTACCATATTAAAGTACTTCGTGATCAAGATGAATAATTTTCAAAGAAGAAAATTTCTTTAACAGCTTAACTACTTTTGGGCTTCTATTTGATCTCCAAGTTCCAGCTTTATAGTATCTTATGACATAATATTCAAAGTTTCCCCGTGTACCTTGCATGCACAGACCGACATCACACAAACATGTGTCCCTTATACTCCTGTTACAATATATATATAAATGTCTGTCTGTCATGCTCTGTTTCACCTAATGGTTAATCATAAAAAAAAAAATTATATATCAAAACGCTTCTTTTCAAGGGTACGTTACATGAAAATTATTCATTTTATGCAATTCCTAAATTTTCATATCACTAGCAACATCAAAACATCAGTCTTTGTATGCACTTAAATGGCAATCTAAAAAACAACAACAATTTTTTAAGAACAAAAATGTTTCTTTTTACGAGGGAATTTCATGTAAAAATGATACTTCTTCCATCAACTGATTTATAGAAACATTTCAAAAGTAGGAGCATGAATAGAAGTAATGTACAAAGAGAAGAATGTGTTTTAGTATATATATATATGTTGTCATATATTGTATATACATATTTTCCCACATTGGTATTATATACATGTATGATTTTATTGTACCATGTCGATTAAACTGATTTGAATTGAATATCTTCCCTTTGACACTTCTTACAGAAATTACAACTGTCATAAAGCACTCACTTCTGTCATGTTTTTTTCTTGCTCTCAGTGAAATGACAAAGAATGGTTGCATCCAGGAGAAAAAAATCCCACAGCTACTTACAAACCTGCATTTCCATATAGTTTGCTCTCAGTACCGTTCACCAATCAACTGGTCAATTTTCAGTTGTGAAAGGTGATTTGTTAGTAGCACAGATACCATCCTTCTTGGAAGGGTTGAATGTATTCTCCACAGATACTATCCTTCCTGGGAGGGGTGGGTGAATGTATTCTCCACAGATACCATCCTTCCTGGGAGGGGTGGGTGAATGTATTCTCCACAGATACCATCCTTCTTGGAAGGGTTGAATGTATTCTCCACAGATACCATCCTTCATGGGAGAAGTGGGTGAATGTATTCTCCACAGATACCATCCTTCTTGGAAGGGTTGAATGTATTCTCCACAGATACCATCCTTCATGGGAGGAGTGGGTGAATGTATTCTCCACAGATACCATCCTTCATGGGAGGAGTGGGTGAATGTATTCTCTATTATAACACATCTTAGAACTCACAAGAGTGAGGTGAAGCTCAATAACGTACACCGTCAGCTGTCCTTGCCATCTTCTTTGTGTCGCAATCGCTTCTTTCACCTGAGAAAAATCGCTTGCAGGCATCCATTGTGAACTCCTGCTTGACTCGCAATGGCCACTGGCTTGCTTCCTGTGGGAAGTATGAGGATGCTCAATAGAGCAACTGGGCTTACAGGCAGATGCGCATGGAGGAATTCAGTGAAATGAAGACTCTGAATGAACTTAGTACACTGTATGATCCCATAGTCACCATAGCTATTTCAAAATTATTATTGCACTGTAGCCAGAGAGCATTTTATGTAGCAGCTACGGTGGACTTGTAGCAGAAGGTAGGTCTGTGTTTAGCAAACCTGAGCACTCTATTGTGCTGAATGCACCCATTGCATTTGCCAACAATGCAATGCATTTTTCCTTAATAAAATAACACATGGAATGACATAATACAGTTTTAAACAGCCATTATACAATCATATTGAATATATGCTGTGATCCGAAGGATTGGGTTAACAACACATTTTATATTTATTCATCACTATTCTTAGGAAAATTACTACTGAACTGTTTCAATGGACATCTGCTAGTTTTAGGTAATCACATCTGAAAGGTATAAGTTTAACAATAATGGAACTTCAAAGAAACAAGAAACTAACACCACTTCACATCAAATTACACTTAGATACCAGTTGTTACTACAATTATTACAGTATATAAATATCTTACCATGATATTTCTGACTAGAGAGTGATAATGCTTTTCCTTAGTGTTAGATTGAAATTAGGATAAGGCTCAAACTTGCATAATTCATTTATACTAAATTTTAAACAAACATCTGAGCTTATCACTTTAACTTATTTTAAAAATATGTTTAATGCAACTTCTTGTGATAGTGAGATAAAACATTTAATTCATAAATATATTTGTACAATTTATTATTTATCGTAAGGCATCACTTTTACACTTTAAATCTCTGGTTCTGGTCATTATTTTGTTTAAACTAACATAAAAAGTTTCTAAAAATCTAGTATAATGCATTCTCAAATTTACAAGAATTACTCCAATGACTGTGACAGCGTACCTATTTTAATGGTAAAATTTTAGAGCTTAGAATCAACTGTGAATACTTTTATTTAGCCAACTACTCAATTTTTCTTGAAAACACAAGTGATTCCGAGATTCATTAATGAATGTACATTTTCTACTTTTCATGGTTGAAAATGATCAAAAGCTTGTCTACATACTCATTATTATGTTAATTATTCTGCAAGTTTGAAGAATTTTAAAATATTTTACACTGTTCTGTGGAAGGATGGGAACTTACAAATTGTTTTGTATTACTTAATATAAAATAACCAAGTGGAAATCAGACTTGCCTTCTTTCTGAGTTTTGTAACTTCATCTCTGAGTTCAGCCAAGGACTCTTCACTGTTCTGGTCAGCCCCTTGCTCTTGAAGATTCTGAACATCTGCTTGAAGTTCCTCAACTTTCTGAACTGCTAGCTGGTATCTCTTCTGGTGTTTCTGAAGCAATTTCTGGAGTCGCACCAACTCTGGGATATCCTAACAGAGTAAACATTTGGTATAGCATTAAATTTCTGTATTATGAATAGGTGTCAAATTACCCATAAACATTTTACTAATCTCATCACTGAAAAATGTACTCTCTCTTCAATATACAAGATAATAATGTATATTTCAAGTTTCATTATATAAGTTTAGTTTTATTAATTTAACTCTAAAATGTCTGGGTGTGTTAATTTGCTAACATTTAGATATATTATCACAACATTAGTAAGAAGAACAGATTATTCTTCCTAATTCACAGTTTTTTTATTTATATATTTTATTTAACCCATTGACTGCCGATTTGGCGTATAGGGTACAGTCTGCCTCTGGCAGTTGAATGCAAGTGTGCCGTATATAGTGTATGGCTTGTAAAAATTCCAAGTGTTTAGAGAAGTTGCAGTCAATGGGTTGATAAGCAGCTAAAAATACTATTATATGACAGACCTTATCTCCTTCCTCTCCACTGCCACTTTCTCCAACATCTTCCACTTTCCCATGAAGTGCAATCAAAGCCTTAACATGATCAATTACTTTAGCCACTCGATTGTGTTGATCACTCAACTCAGTCTTCGTCTTCTCAAGCATCTGTTGAGATTCCTCCAGTCGTACATTTAGCTGCGACTTCTCGTTTTCTGCCTTGAAATTTAAAATACAGATTTAATGTCAGTTGCTATATATTGTGACAATAGTCCCTCTACTTTATTAGCAGATAGACTTAAATCATTACCATAACGTTGATTGTAAGCATGATGTATATTTTCAAAAAGTTATTTCTTAAGATCTTGTACTTTTCAGTGTAAAATCTCTACCCTTATCACAAACATTTCTAAAAGGAGTGAAACAAGTGTATGAAAGTAAAGAAACATCATTCAGCTCAATAAGTACAACCCTCACAAAAAATTAACGAAAATGCTACTACTGAACACACGTCTAATCAGAAGAGTTGAATATGAAACGTTATTACTTGTTAGATTTCAGAATTAAACAGGTTTTGTCTTCATGTTAGTTAATGTTACAATTTCAATTCCAGCTAATGTGATTAAAACATGCGACTTGAATTATGTTCACTTTCTTGAAATAAACATTAAGATGAACTTACCTGTTCCAGTTGTTTTTCCAGTTTTCTAACTTCACTTAGGTGGAGCTCGCTGAACAGATCGTTCACAGTTGCTGGTTGAGATTCATTCATTTTGTCGGCTTTTTATGAAAACAAAATATGTGGTAAGAGACAATGTTAAAATTTTACTCTACTGATGCTCAAAGCAGCATTATTCTGAATTACAATGTGTCTAAGGTGGAAATTGAAAAATAATTGCTTAAAATTATCAAAAATTGACAATTATAACTGGACCAGAAACCTCTATACAGATAATAATACTAATAAGCTTAATTTTTCTACTCAATTTTAACTTAAATACTTCTTCATGTATAAATATCAAACTCCAAAGTGTCAGCATGCACTCATTGTTTACCAACACAGTTTCCTACAATGCTTTGGGTCTTGTGTTGATAGTGCCACCAGGTAGCTGCAAACTTGAATTAATGAGCATATCAAAATAATTGGTGAACACTAGCTGTCGTCCTGTCAAACCTTGACTGGTTTCTTGTACTGATGCAACACAAAATGAATGAAATCTTTAGAGTCCTGTTACAAAGTTTAGTAGTTTCTTTGACCAGCTGAAAGTTTTATTTTTACTAGCTTGTCATGTGATATTCCAGTCCTGAGAGCCACAAATGGAAATCACACTACTATTACTATTGGGCATAGTATGACTGATTCTACCTTAACTTCTATAGGCTTTATTATGGTGTGGCACTTTGATTTGTTGGATGGCAACTAATCACAGTGTAAACTATTAACATGCAACTACACTCAGGTGTAGTTCACTGTACACAATAAAGAAATGGCATTACCATAGTAAATGTTTAAACTATGTTTTATCATCATTTCCTTTTTTATTAATAAAAATGTAGTGCACATGTCACACAACTATTTCTGTAGAAAATAGGTCAATATGACCCATTTTAGAAGTGAAACTATACATACTGTTACGTATCTGCTTGTTTGTTAATTGTTTTTGTAATGATGTGCAAAATTCCAACTTTGATAATAATGTTTACAGTGCATATCTTGATGTAGAGACCTTTTCCACAAATATTCCTATCGAAGGGACCCGGAAACTAACAGTGAAATGCTTATATCAGAATGATTATAATATTGTTACATATCTGCTTGCTTGTTTGTTTCTGGTAGAAATTCTTTCCGAGAAACTTCATCGATACAAGTCCTTTCTTGGTTAAACCAGTTTATTCTGAATTTTCCTTATTCTATCATTTTCACACATGCCTTTTAAGCTACACTTTCTTGTAGGTATTGCGTGTTAGATCAATAAATCCTGGTACATTTGAAAAGTTTTTTCACAGTCAGAGAAATAAAATCACGAAAACATAACTTTATTTAATAAAACTACACATAAAGCAAAGTAATTGTACTTATAATAGTGTACAGAGTATGAAACAGTTATGAGCATTCAATGTATGACAGTTTTATGAGGTGAAACAAAGAAACTCACAAAAACTAAGAATAAAACCCATAGTAAAGAAAAAGTAACAAAAAGGTGTATATAGCAGTCTATGAAAAGAACCGAAGCTAAATTATTGCAAAGTAAAGTAAATGTAAAGTTGTAATGAAAGTAAACTTAGCATATTTTAGACCTAAATAAGTCATGAAAGCCCATAGAAATTGTATTTAGTACAATGTTCATTTTTTTTAGGAAATTACAAGTGCATTAAGTTTGTGTGAAATACCTTGCAAATGAAAAAACTAAAGTTGAAATTGAAACCAGTCATCACACAATGACAACAACATTGTGTCATTATGTACCATAACTGTTGCATTGAAAAGTTTGACTAAGCAAAAAACAGGTAAGGTGATTTTGAATTGAAAAGCCAATATGCAATCTGGACTCCTCAGACAAAGGTCTTTCTGAGGATATGAGATCTGTAGTGTTGGATTGAAAAATTTGCTAGTTCCAGACAGACAAATGCAAGCACATTATTTATATAGATGTTAGGCTTTGAGCTAACATCAACAATTTCATTTTCCTATCCAATACATCTAAAGGTGATAATTTGTTATTATATACCATAAAATAATAACAGTTTTTAATAATCATGTCTATCTCTTTGCTACTGTAACAGTCCTGGTCTAAATATGAATGTGTCAAATATTAAAGGAAGAATTACTTCAGGTAAGTAAGTTAGTGTAAAAAAGTATGTGCCTTATAGGATTAATTATTCTTCTACTCCATATATTAAGAACTGGAATTTACTCACAATCATCATTAGCATGTTTCCCAATATAATCTGCCTCTAACTGCTTTAGAGCTGGAACATCACTTTCACCATCTTCTTCTTCGGTCCTATTTCCATCTTCTTGATCTGCGATTCACAATAATCTTCAATTACTCAGGTGAACAAAATATTAAACATTTTATTATCAAATAGACTTTTAAATTGAAAGAAAACTCATTGAAAATGGTCCAAAAGCTGATATACAAAATTATTACTTCATGCACTTAAATTATATATGTAAAATATCTACAGCATTACAAGTTACAGCTCTAGTTTTATCTTAATGAAACTTTGCAAAAGCTGAGAACTAGTTAATGAATGGTAATTATTACTGAACTATGTCAAAAATTCATTACTGTTCACAGTTATGAGAAAAATTTTTATGGTAAAAAAGTATGAAATAAAAGATGACATACATATTTTCATATACAAATTTAGAATGACCTACTAGATTACTTTGTAATATTGCCACTTTTTATTACCCTCTGAACCATATCTAACTACTATCCGTGACATTATAAGTTATAAATCACTCGGGTAATGTGCAGCTCACGTTACACTATCAAATTACATTATCCACGAGCTGCTAGTATGCATTCCTCATGAACCATTTTAATTACATTATCATTATTATTTATTTTACCTAATCAAGTCTTAAATAACTTAAAAAGATCTGTATTTTTAATTTTAAGTACTTTTAATGGCTGGAGACGGCTTAAATGGGTAATGAAGAAAAACTTTAATATAAGTTTAACATGAGAGCAAATGTACAAC